GCTGAGTTAACCTTGTGCCTGGTGAGTTTCGAACTACCAATCTGGCAGTCAGCAGAAGTAGCCTGCAGTACTGCACTTTAATCACTGGACCACCAAGGCTCTTGAGTCACATGAACACATTAATTGCTCTGGTAAATATGGTCAGTGGAAGGAACAAACCTTCCTTGAAACCACAGGACTTCCCAGTTCTTGATTCCCAACCATCACTACCTCCACCATTTCCAGAACCAGCTTTATTTCATAGGCAGTTATATATTTCATTTCTTCCTATATCATTTTACTCATCATTTTGTTGAATTTCCACCTATAGATGCAGAGGGCTTTTAGCTGCACACCTGCATAACAGTAAATAAAGACAGCAGCAATAGATTTTTCCTTGGAGATGTTGCCGATGTAAGGGCAGTAACATATAATGTTTAAGGGAGCAACAGATTTTTAATTATGGAAATAAAGCTAAGAGATGAACCAAAAACCAATTGTGGAACTCTGTTTTATACGACTGAAAAAAACAACAACATGGGTGTGACAATTCTCATATTAGCATGATTGTGACTATCTTTTACAATTATGATGCCTTGTTTATCATTTACCAAAAAAAACAACAACATTGCAAATAAAGGAATCTGGGTGAGCCTTTGATATGATTGAGTAGATTGTTTACATTCTTAGAAGGATCTGGGAGTATACATCTGGACTTAAATATTTTGCATAGGAAAAGCACATAATGCTGGATCAAAGTGTGAATTGAACATCTGTGTCAATCTATATTTATGAACCTTATCTGCTTTATCTAACATCGCAATAACCACTTCTTAATTTTCCCCCTGTAAAAAGAATGATGGATGCATATGATAGGACTCACCTCCTAAAGGCTTAAGATATCATGTTCTCTAGATGTGATGGTACATTATTATTATGACTCTTCAAAAGACCCACTCATTTAAAATGGGAATGTTCAGCCCATTCTGTGATCTTTCGATCTTCACCCATTTCCACTCCCTTTTAATTCCAATGTCTGAGTAATGAGTACCCTAGACGTGATGTATGGGAACATTCTCTGTAAGATGTCCATAAAAGATTGACTTTTGTCAAAGCTTGTAGTGAAGTGTTCAGCCACTACATTCTCTCACCAATGTGTAGGTTAATTAGATTAAATGTAGAAGATCAATCACATAGTAGTGTCTTGGTAAGATTAATTGCTCCATCTCTGCAAATTAATTTTAGCATACCACTTTGAAAGTGGTGGGAACCAGTAGAACTAAGGAACTGCAACCAGGCAGAATGCATATAGTTATTCTTCAAAAGCAAAGCGTGTCCTTACTAATGTTTTATATTTTCTGTAACAGCATTTACCGTTTGATTATATAAAGAATGTATAAAGAACGGTTGCTGAAACTGGCTATGTCTATGATGAAAAGAAGGACTGGGGGTGACATGATAGCAGTCTTCCAATATCTCAGGGGCTGCCACAAAGAAGAGGGAGTCAAGCTATTCTCCAAAGAACCTTAGGGCAGGACAAGAAGCAATGGGTGGAAACTAATCAAGGAGAGAAGCAACCTAGAACAAATGAGAAGTTTCCTACAGTTAGAACAATTAATCAGTGGAAGAACTTGCCTCCAGAAGTTGTAAATGCTCCAACACCGGAAGTTTTTAAGATGAGATTAGATAACCATTTGTCTGACATGGTATAGGGTTTCCTGCCTAAGCAGGAGGTTGGACTAGAAGACCTCCAAGATCCCTTCCAAATCTGTTATTCTATTTTAATCTATTATGAACAATATATCTATTAGCACTAGAGCAACTATAATCTCAATTGTGTTTCAAGATGATTGTCAATTAATGGATCTCAAACTAATAACAACAATAATAACAACAACAACAATCCAGTTGCCATGATTCAACCTTCAAAACCAATCGAACCCAACTTTTTCTTCAAATGTTCACCTTCCAGATGCATAGGGGAAGTTGATAAGCAAGATATAATTGCATCCCCACAACAGGCTTCTAATGCAGTAAATGTAAAAAGTAATGTATAGCATTGCAATTGTGCCAAATGGTTAGGAATAAGTGTTTTGCAATTTACGGCACCATATGTGAAGCACCTATTTTCCAAGTATCTTAGAAAAGGATGCATCTTTTCTCATTCACACAGGACTGATTCAGTTCTCTGCAGCCCTTCTGTGCTCATTAGCATATGCTACCAATTTGCTCAGTACTAATAGTCATTACACCTGTAGTTATTCAGTGCTTTAACCTCCCAAATTAGCTTAATCCTCTTTAAAAATCATATCAATCGATAGCTATCTTCCTTGTAGTACCAAAATCCCAATTCTCCACCACTAAGCTTTACTGACTGTTCTTAATTCTCTTAGTTCTACTATTATCAAAGGGGAATGAAACTTTTCCCTGTCCCTTTTCTTTCCATACCAGGCAGAATGTCATAAAGTTTCCACTCTCTTCATAAGAAATTAGTACATCCCCTTGAAGCACATCAATTTTTCTCTTTTTCTGTATCTTTAACAACGTTACAATACCCCTTTTGTGGTAGTGGGACCAAACTGCATATCTCATTCCAAGAAAATTTCACTCTAAATAAAGTTATTATGATACTGCACAGTTTAATGACTGATCCTTTTCCCTTCCTTTTAATCCTCAACATGGAATGGACCCTTTTCATGCAAAGATTCCTTTCTTTGCAATCCCTACTAGCTCAACCCACAACAATGTGTATACAGAATTAGGAATAATTGATTGCCCAAAGGAGCATCATTTTCCAATTGCTTACCCAGGTCCCATTTGGGGGGAATTACAGTACTTCTGGAGTTATTTGATGCTTTTCTTTTGTCTTAGTCCAGATTATGAATGAACTTGTTAAACTCACCACTCAAATGCATCAGCTTGGAGACTTTCCCTATTTACAGGACTTCATCAATAGACATGTCATATTCTTCCTATGTTATTTTCTTCAACAGTTACCAATCCATAGCAGGTTATTTTCTCTTATCTCATAATTGTTAAGTTTACTAAGGAGTATTTTTTTTTTTTTTTGCATGGTGCTTTTTTATGAAAGTCTAGGAAAAACAGTAACTGATAGATTATGCATATAGTAATAGCAATCACACTTAGACTTATATGCCGCTTCATAGAGCTGTACAGCCCTCTCCAAGTGGTTCACAAAGTTAGCATATTGCCCAAGAATCTGGGTCCTCATTCTACCCACCTTGGAAGGATGGAAGGCTGAGTCAACCTTGAGCCGGTGAGAATCAAACTGCTGGCAGTCAGCAGAATTAGCCTGCAGTACTACATTCTAATCATTGTGATACCACAGTTCTTATCTCTCCAACAACAGTATTTGTTTCTAAACACACTTGCCATGTTTTATGCTACATTGCTGCATGAAATAGCTATCATTTTCACCCACTGAAGTTCAACATAATCTTCATGGTAGATTTTTTTTCTATTTAAAATTAAAATGACAAAAGATATACATCAACTTAAATAATTCCAAGCAAGATTGAAGGGAAGAAGAAAAAATATTATTTGATACCACTGAAACATTCCTTGGAAGCTAATCCTATCTGTTCTGATTAATGTTTTTGACACAGCTCATGACTACTCTACTTCGGTTAATTGAGTCCATTTTCTGATGTATTGGTAGTCTTCAAATAACTCCCAAACTATCCGAGAGAGGAATCAATTGCACACAATAAATTGCTCTGGAAGTAAAAAAAAAAAAAATCATATCACTTGGGTATAAAAGTTCTCACTACACCACACTAATTATCCTAGATATGAAATTTCAACTTGAGGGGACAGATAATTAATCATTAAAGACCAGTAGGTGGGTCTAAATTGTTTGACCATTTCTCTTACCCAACAATATTTCTACTGCCTATAATAACGGATTATGTTAACAACAGTAGTTAGAGTACATATTCTTAGGCTACACATTGTGCCTATGTTTTGTTTCCTCCTAAGCTTTGATTCAGATAGGGTCTTCTATTGTGTTGGGACTTCTTCAACTTAATACAGATGACTGATGAGAACTCACACAGAGCCTTTCATCGAAGAATGTAGCACATATTGGTCCATACTGCTTCAAGTGGAACACCCCCTCCCATCATTGAAAAAAATGGTTTAAATAAATCAGATATGGCTAAAAATAGTAACAATAATCCATCTTTCAGATTTTCAAAAGATGTTAAAAAGCCTTATCTCAAAGCAGCTGCAAAAGAATGGATGCACAACTCCTTCCCACCCAAAGTTTTGTGACTTCAAAATTACACATAATAATTTGGGTATTTTTTTAACGTAAGAAGTGAAGTGTGGGTTGTCTGAAACAATGAGAATTTGAAAACAAATCCCATACAAATTATTTCATCCAATCTATTCATAAACATTTTAAAATGCAGGTTTCAAGTCATCACTATCATCATCATCATCATCATCATCATCATCATCATCATCACTCAAGCGGGGTATCATACCTTTGTCAACTTTGCTGCAATTTTTAGGTTCTTCAAATGCCCAGTCAAAATGGAAAGTCTGCCTTTGTATTCTGCCCAACAATGTAACTGAAATTAAAATAGAACCACTCAAGGCCAGGCTTTGCTCAAAAATTACCCTCTTCTTGACCCTACAGCTCTACTGATCCTGATTCTTATGTCCTATTCTTATTTTTTTTGTCCCCTCCCCAGATTAGCATTGTATGCTTTAAAATTTACAGGTTGCCAAGCTTTAGCCTTCCCCCATCTCGAAGCAGAAGTGAAAAATTGGCTCCATTATCTGACTTTCACAATAATCCCAAGCAAGCACAGGGGGAAAAAAATCATTTAAACAGAGGCAAGTAGAAAAACCATCTTGTCCTCGTGCTTACCTGAACTTGCTTGGTTGCTTTCCGTTAAAGATCATTTCTCTTGCCTTCTCAAGTCCTTCTCAAGCCAGGCTTTCCCCCCTGGAGTGGTTTCAAAGCAAAACATGACCAAATACAACAAACTTACTGGACTCCGGATCTGAGTTTCCATCTCCCTCTGTCCGACTGTTGGGTGAGGTCTGCTCATAGTACTCCTCTTGAGGGAAACCCAGTGGCAAAGGGTGGGTCATACTGGTGTTACTGCTGGGCTCGTGGTCTCCCAGCCCACTGTCACTGCAGCTTTCTTGAGACCCATCGGGGAGATGAAATGTAACTCGGCGCTGGGACTGCAGAAGGAAGAAAACCACAGAGTTCCAACAAGGTTCCCAAGGAATTGGCAAGTCCTCCCAACACTGGGAATGTATTATTTTAATGACAGGGAGTCCTCTAATTACAATCATTCATTTCATGACCCTATGAAACACTGTTGATCTCTTAAGATGCTGCAGGGTGTCTATTGTGTACAGGCAGTTCTTGTTTTACAATCACTTCTTCGTGGTTTTTTTTTTTACAACCAACATTTGGCCAATAGGGAATTCTAATAATTCTAATTCTAATATTTCTAATTCTAATAATTCTAATTCTATCGCCAACGTCTGATGATGGATATGGCACAAGAACAAGAATTCTACTTCTAAAATTCTACTTCTAAAATTCTAATTCTAATTATTTAGAATTAATTCTAAAATTCTGATTCTAATATGTAAAAATTCTAATTCTAATTCTGATAATTTTAATAATTCTACTTCTAAAATTCTAATTCTAAAATTTTATTTCTAAAATTCTAATTCTAATTTGATCGCCAATGTCCAATGAGGAATACGGCACAAGAAGAATTCTAATTGTAAAATTCTAATTCTAATTATTTTAGAATTAATTCTAAAATTCTGATTCTAATTCTCATAATTCTAATTCTGATTCTGATAATTTTAATAATTCTAATTCTAAAATTCTAATTATTTATAAGTAATTCTAATCCTAAAATTCTGATTCTGATTCTAATTCTAATAATTTTAATTCTGATTCTAATTTGTTCAGTGACCAATTGAAACTACAACGACACTCAAAATGTGTCCTCACACTTATGACCGTCAAAGCATCCTCATGGTCCCGTGATCAAAATTTGGGCACTTGGAAACCAGCATGTATTTAAGATAGTTTCAGCATCCTGGGATCATGTGATCACCATTGCTAACCTTCCCAGCTAGCTTCCAACAAGCAAAGTCAATGAGATTCACTTAAAGATTGTATGATTCACTTGAAAACTGCAGTGATTTGCTTAACCAACTAGGTCAGAAAAGTTCATCAAATGGGACCCAACTCATTTAACGATGGTCTTGCTTATCAATAGGAAAATTTGGACTCAATTGCAGTTGTAAGTTAAAGACTACTTATGGTAATGGCCAGTTTTTGGTGGGTCTAATGGGATGGCAGAAGACACCAACCAGTCTATCCTCTTATACACAGTAGTTTTAATTATTCTGTGAAACAGGTGAAGAACAGTGTGCGCATGTGATATATGAGTCAGTTTCGTGTGTGAAAGTTTTTTTTGTTAATATTATATTGTGTACTAGGTAGATCAATCAGTCTTATTTTTAAATGCAATCACTATCCAAGACTCTCTTTTGAAAATTTTGTAGGTATTATTTTAAATTTGACATGTTAAATAATGCAGGTAAAGTAAACATCTTTTGGAAATGGAATTGATTGGAGGGTTTTTGCATTTAAAAGATGCAAAATTACAGCCAGACAATTTCAATATATCTAACATAAGATCAATGTTTAAGAATTTAGTAGCTGAGGTGCTTAGAAGAATATATAGAAGAATGACAATATTTAAGGCCTGTTTCCCCAACCAAAATACTTTTGTTCATACAACAAATTTTCTTCTCAGAAATATTTAAAAATATTCTGTTGTGCAGTTATCAACAAATACCTTTGAATTTTTATTTTGAGTAAGAGGTTAGTAAATTAAATTATTCTGAATAATATATTAAATGCTAAAGTGTTCTAAATAAAGTATTATTTAAACAATAAAATAATTCAAGTGTGAACTGTTCTGTTTATTTCATATTACAATTGCAATACAAAAAGAAAAAAAGGTATTGCTTTTATGATGCCCTTATAGTAATTATACTTAATTTAAGAAAATCAACTTTCACTTAAAAGTATACAAGCAAATCTGAAACGTTTTCTATGCCAATCAGGGCTCAGAGATATTTAGGGACATTGCCTAAATTTAGCACAAAGTCATTTATCACAAAGCACTAGTTATATTTCTGACTAATTTAGGACCACATTTGGGGATTATATAATTATTTTACAAATGAGGGTTGAAAAAGTCATCACAAAGTCATTCATCAATATACAAATACTATTTTTTCCATATGTCTAAGATTGCAAACTAATACATTAAGGTAAACTTTCACCTTTATTATAACAATATAGTTCTAAATTAATGGTAATATTTAAAATAGATATTGCCTGCTGAACATACCAAGCAATTTCTTATTGACTGCAGAACCAAATTCAAATAGATCTCACCATTTTTTTTCCAAGCATTCCTGTTTTTCTCTATTTATTGCGCTACCCATGAAATATCTGTAGATGAGAATCTGGGTTCCTCTTTTTAGATCAATACTCTTACCACTACATTTAACTCTCAATGAGTCTATTTCATTAGACCTTCAAGGCCATATTTGAGTAGATCTTCAAGGCCATATTTGAGTAGACCTTGAAAGCCATACTTGAGTAGATTTTCAAGGACGTATCTGATTGTCATTCAGACAACTTTGCACGATGGTGATCCATTCATGGTCTAGCAAAACCCATGAGATTGCAATCACCAATCTCAGATCCTTAAATGCCCCATGGCCTCAGTTCACCGTAAGCTTTTGTTGACACCTCCTTTTCAGTTGCCTGCTTTCCTTTCTGTTGCCAGAAAACTGTAAGAAGCTAACATCATTTCTCATGGCTGGGTAGACATGAGAAATAAAAAGAAGCTTTCAGCTGGCATGCATTGGGTGGATAAAAAGAGAAATCTGGGTCGTGCAAACTTGAAAATTTTATCTATATGTCACCTTGCTGTTTTCAAAACAGCTTGGGAAAGTTTATCCTCTCTCTCTCTCTCCAAAAAAAAAAAAAAAAGTCACATCCTTTTCTGTGCCAATTTAAGATTTGGAAAAGGTTATTCTCTCCCCCACCGTCCCCTTAAAGAAAGTTTCATAAGAACATGAATTCTCTCAAAAGAGGAGAGAAGTCCTGCCAATGTTCCCATTTTGAATCTTAAAAGCCATAGCTTCTTAAAAGACAGACACTTTTGAAAAAAGACAGACACTTTTGACATTGGCTATTCTTCAACATGCTTAATTAACTCCAAGAAATGCTCGACACGAGATGCACTGATGCTCAGTGGCTTTTACTCCAGCTGCCCTATTTCTTTATTTGGGGGGGGGGGGTAGGAGGAAGAGGAGGAGGCAAAGAAGAATAAATAATTAATGCAATAAGAAAATAAATGGCACATAGTTTCTATTTGCATCGTCTTTCTTGTCATGATTATTTGAAATTCCGCATTATCATTATTATTTGAAAAAGGCCGGCGAGATCTGAAGGTGCCCTATTCACCTGGGAATGGGCTGTCGGAGGCACTGAATATCAAGAAGTTTCTCCTTTCTTGTACTTTTCTCATTTTTCCTGTACTTTGCAGATCTGAAAATCAAGCCCTGAGCAATCACAGCATTTCCAATACGCTCTTTCTTCTTTCCTAGTCTAAACCTCATCTTCTCACAGAAAATACTCAGGGGGAGGAGGAGAAAAAAGAACAAGGAAAAGTTGTGAGATTTTAGTGCTGGTTTCTAAATAGGAAGTTAAGAGCAACCAATGGTTGTCTTTATCTTCCTTAGGGATTTCAACTACTTTAGGAAATTTTCGAACAGCTCCTGTTAATTGCTGGAGTGGCACAGTGGCTCAGCGGTTAAGACAGTGGGCTTGTTGGCTGGAAAGCCAGCAGCCCAGTTTTGACACCTAAGCACCATGCAATGGGGTGAGCTCCCATCCTTGCCCCAGCTGCTGCCAACATAGCAGTTTGAAACATACAAATGAGAGGAGATCAATAGGTACCACTTCGGTGGGAAGGTACCAGTGCTACGTGATGTCGTGCTGGCCACATGACCATGGAAATGTCTTCACACAGCACTGTCTCAATGGCCTTGAAATGGAGATGAGCACAACTCCCTAAAGTCGGCAACAACTAGAGGAATAAAATTCACACAGAACTCTTTACCTTTTACCTGTTAATTGTTAAGAAAATCTAGAGAGGAGCTTGTAGGGATTCTCTCCATATCACAATTTAATGCAATCTTCCTCAAGTTACCCTTCCTGAACGCACAGGGGGGGGAAATCCAAACATAACATCCACATGTTTCATTTCTTTATGCTGCTCACAAGGACCCACACATCCCCAAGTGCACCCTACAGAAAAGATGCATTTGGCAATGCAAAAATAAATAAATGTAAACTTATACGCCTGGAAAGTAAATATAGACATGGCTAGTCTTTGGCTAAGATCATAATTAAGCTCTAAATTTCTGTTGCTATGCCAAGACAGTTGCTAAGCCTCATTTTACAACCTTTCTTGCCACAGTGGTTAAGTGATTTTTTTAGTTAGCCAACATGGTTGTTAAGTACATCTGGCTTCCCCATGGACTATGCTTGTCCAAAGGTTGCTAAAAGGGATCACCAATTCTTGAGTGCATGTCAGTTGCCAAGCATCCAAATTTCGATCACGTGGCCATGAGGATGCTGCAATGGTCACAGGTGTGAATGACGGGCATAAGTCACTTTTTTCACTGCTGTTGTAATTTCAAGTGGAATCTAAACCAATGGTTGTAAGTCAAGGACTGCCAATACCAGGCCATGAATGCCTACAGAGGCATGTAGTCATTTTTGTCCATACTCCGACAAATTAGGCAGAGCTTTGACATCACAAATTGAAGACAGGAGATATGAAAACTTGACATATCGATCCAGTCATTGGTAGCAATGAACTCACCCATGGAATCACAAATTTACATATTCATGTATCTGGAAAGCATTGGTACATTTGTAGCAACATTCACTGTTGTATCTTTGAGGTTTGCAAAATTCTCAGGATGTTCTAACCTCAACTATCCCTCATGCTCCTCCAATATATTTGAGCAGTTTTCTTAAGAAGAACTAAAAAAAACAAAAAAAACCTCTGTAAATATTTTACCCAGTCAGAAGATTGTGCTGGTTTCTTTTTCTTTGG